CTTGGGCCGAAGAGGATCGTAAAAAAAAACAATAGTTTCAAATCAGAGCCGATGGAGCGAGAAGACTTTACTGAAACAGTCCAAAGTATCTACAAAGACAGCAATCTGTTGAGTACCGCCCCTTGCACAAAGCACGCCCCTTTATGCTCTGACATTGCCAGGTAAAGCGCGCACACTTTTGATGCTCACTTCGCTGTCGCTGTGATTGCCTGCCAGCCAAGAGAGTCGCGGTGCAAAACCCGTTCTGGCACACAAACGCTTCCTCCGCCTCCATTCAGTCCATGCAAGTAATTGCGGCCGCCCTCTGAAACCAACACCGTTGGGAACCGTGGGTCGATCCAAAACACAGTCTAGACAGTGTCTAGACTAACGAGTTCTTGACGTCACTCTGTCAAGAGGCTTTCAGGGACTCCGGATGTTCCCGTGTACATTCCGAACACCTTGCGAGAGGCCGGTTCAACAGGCTAAGGCTGTGGCATTGAGCTGCTGAACAACTCGTGCATGTTGGTATGCAGTCGCGAGCTCTTTGGCACCTTTTCCAGTGCAGTCGACTGCCTTGGAAGGCAAGGTCTAGGTACATCTGCTAGATCCGACTTTTCTTCTCACTGCATCAGAAGGGCTTGCGCATTCGCCCCTTGCCCCACCAGAAGTTCGACCTAACACCAAGCAGATTCTCTCTCCTCGTTGCAGCGAGCAGATTCACTCTGGGTCGCAGTGCATTAAAACATCGAGGAAAGGGCAGTGTTCGCTCGGCCTGCGACCGCAGCTGCCAGCAAGGGGGTTCGACCTAGGAACGAGACAGCAGAGTCCCATACCGCTCCAAGGACGTGGATGCACGACTCCTCGCGTGAGGGCGTCGCCTTGTGAGTCCTGCTTCTCGAGTTTAGCACGAGCGGCTAAGAGCGTCATCACGGCTGCCCCATTTCCCCTTCGAGGGTGACACAAAGCGACAACTCCTCAAAGTGACGACTTTGTCACCTTGGACGCAGTGCACATGGCCGTCGCCTACGAGCGGCATGGTGCAGGGCTGTGGATCCTGCATGAGTGTCATTATGTGTCATTGAAGCCAAGGCATGCCCAGCAATAACTTTCCAGGTCGACAACTGACTAGAGCTAAACCTCTGAGCTGCCCGTCCTTCCATGTCCGAAATCTCGAGAGGCGATCTGTGCTCAATCAAGATTTTGCAGAGCTCATGCCGCGCCCCAGAAGCTGCCAGGATCAGCGGAGTTGATCCACTCTTGTCAGCCACCTCTGATCTCAGTCGGAAGGGCAACATAGCGAACTGCCGCAATCAAGTGCCTGCCGGACGTCAGCTCGGGCTTGCAAGAGATATCGAGCAACTTCCGCCCTCTGGCCGTGGATGGCGTGCATGAGTCCCTGCGCAGCAGTACAATAAGTTAAAACGAAAATCCAAGCCCTACCCAAGAACCAGGAGCAGCCCTAAAACCAGTCTAAGGCACCCAAGACCCAGCACACACAGACAGAGAGACACAGAGAGCCATCATGTGGGCGTGGGGGATGGTGGGCGTAAACGAAGCGCGCCCCAAGCGGCCGAAGCACGAAACGCGTAAACTCTTCTAGACCCCTTCTTGGGCGGGATTTTCGAGGCAGGGAATAGTGAATGGTGTCCCCCTGCTCGCTGTGGCATGCCGCCGTGGCAGGAGACAGCTTCATCAAGTTCGCGAGTGCCCAAAGTGGACCCTGCAGCAGACGCACCCAGCCGACGCGGCCCGCGCATCTTTAGTCGATACATAATGTATCAGAATGTCCACCGCACCACAGTAGGGGCCGCGGGAACACGCCTGCCGGCGCGCCTGGAAGTGCACCCCACGCCATCAATCATCAAACCCTCTGCCCTGAACTCCGGAACCTCAGTGCTACCACGTGCACACCCTTCGTGAGTAGCACATAATAGCACGACAAGATGCAGTCCAGCCATTTGCATCACTGGCATCCACCGCAGCTTTCCTTATTGCAATTGACGCGGCCTGCCTGCAGTAGCTTGCTAAAAGTCTGCCCAGATTGAGAAGGCCTCCTTGATGTTATGCTTGTCGGTACAGTACCACTGTAATGCCAGCTTACGCTTGCACAATCGCTTGCAAGCATTGTCAGACCGAGCATCCGATCCAGTAGAACGCGCACGGCATCTGCGCGGCCACGGGAAGCTGCTGCCACCAACGCCGTCTGGTCGGCGAAACGTCCTGTGGAGGGCATGCCCGAAGCTCAAGAACATGTGGGCATTGCATGCCTGGCCTTCGCTTACGGAGCCATCAACTCGCACACCACTGCGACTGAATAGCTGCTGGAGATCTCCAACTTCGCCTGCCCGAGCCGCTGCCACGAATCGTTCTTGGTTTGCAGCAACTTGAAGTTCGCCGGAGCCCAGCAATACCTCTTGGTCCAACGGACCAGGTCTTCCTGTTGCTATGTCTGGTCGAAGGGCTGCGGGTTCCGAGGAATGGTATCCGAAGGCGCTTGAGCCGGAAGAGTTGGTCCCTGCGTCTGCCACGGAGCGACCAATTCCATTTTCGTGGGCTCTTCGTGGAGCAGCTTCTAGTGGCCGCCCCGCTCCACCGGCTTCTTCGCCAAAAGGTACTGGCATGCAAATGCTCACTGCTTCCGTGTCGAGGAGACCACTCCCACCAACCACACCAAAACCTCTGGGCTGGTCATCCTGCACTGCTGGTGCGCTTGGTGCGGTTGGGTCTTCTGGATGGCTTCGATCGCTGTCGCCCGGTGTAGGCTCTGCATCAGGCTCCGGGATTCGAGCACGTGGCCTCCGGGCCGGGGAGGTCTGGAGAGGTGGGCGCGGAACTGGCTTTGGCTTCTCGGGAGCTTTGCAGCGCTGAGCACCTGGGGCCATGTAACATGCTTTGTCTCAAGACATGGATTTCGGATGATACAGTACCGGGGAGGCTCGCGGGTTTATCTTAAGCTCGGGCACGAACAATGGGAACCATGTCTGGCGTCCATGACTCATCGCCCCCAGCCAAGCTTGAAGCACCCGAGTTGAGCCGCAGTATGGTCAGGCCCAGATCGGGCCGTGATAGCGACTGCAGCAGCATCAGCCTCGATCCGTCTTCTCCTGACTTGCTGGCAACGTGCTGGTGAATACAAGACGATTAGTGGCCGGCAATCTACGCGCCTTGCTCGGAGTATCGCTCGGTTTTCCCAGCAACATTGCAAGATACCACAAAACTCTGGCCATTACCCTGGCAAACAAATTGGAGGGAATGACGGATTTCTGCTGCGCTAATTTTGCAACAGGCATCCTGCCGGATTGACCGAGACAGTCACCTCCTCTGATTCCAGCCCCAGGTCTGGAATGCAGCAAATAGCCGAAATGCAGCGAATCTCCTCCGCAGGTCCCGTGGTGTCAATGAAGCTGATGTTCGTTTGGTTTCCACTCACACACCTCTGTTGGCCATTTCGGAAGAATTTGTTCTGTCCGGTCGGTGATTTGCCTCATGCAGTCCATACTCGACTCCCCCGACGTTCGAGGCCTATATATTTTGGATGCTGCGTTTCCTGCACTCTGGAGTCAAACGAGTCAAATCCCTTGTCGCCCTCTTGGATAGCAAGAGTCCTCTTCGTTGTTGGTCCATCCTAGTTGCCGGCGTTGAGATTTGACGGCAGTGTGGAGTCCAGTTTGAACGCTGCCAAACCTCAGTAAAGCAGGGTCAAGCTAGCACAAGATGAAGTGGAGTACACGGGCCCGGCCGGTAGGACAGGCCACATTTCCCAAGGCCAGGGGCCTGGGACTTCATACTTCATCCGTCTCCGCGGGCCCTTCCCCGTAGCAAGAGCACGTGCCTGAAGGTGGCCCTCGAAAACAGCGCCTGCTAGATCCGCCAACTGCGCCATGTGTCCCAAGCTGATCGCTGCAAGGACTTTTCAGTAGGTACTTGGCACGAATAGGGAAACAAGTAGTGCACCCCTGCTCGAAGAGTCACACTTGCTTGCCCAGCTTGCGCTAGCCGTGTGGATAAAACAAGCCAACCATGAAATGCCTCTCTCACGAAACGAAGACAGTGGCAGCAGCTTCTGCGTGTCGAGTGTCTTCTCCTTTTAAGTGACGACTTTTGCTGCGAACGATTCCCTCAAGCTGCCACGTGACTAATCAATCGGTGTCATTTATCCTGCTGCCAAGCGACAGCCACTACGTTTGCAAGGATTTGCAGGGGAGCGCGACAGCCGTGCGCTGAAAACGGCGGAAGATCGTGCCGTCCGCAAAGCGGCAAATTCACCGACACGCGAAGGCAAACGAAAATTCAGACCTGACACGTCTGCTATGTACACGGGCATCTAGCCTAATGGTTGCGATAATCCCACCAACTGTATGCTGCGACGATGAGGTCTATGCCGTCGCCATCTCCGGCATAAGCAGAGGTGTCGCCTGCCATCGGATACCAATAGCTGTGCTAAACGCAACAGTAAGATTCAGAACACCTGCGCTGCTTTTTATCCTTACTCTGCAAACATGCCGCCTCCCCAACGAGGAAGGCAAGCACTTGCAAAGCTTTGATTTGTCGTTGAAACACTGCCCAACCTCGCTTTGTTTGTGCTCGTTCTCTTGCTTAAGCCGAATCGGGGATGCACTGGGCGTCCCCCGCCACTTGACTGAGATGAGCAACTGCTGGCACTGGCTGCCCCGAGCGAAGACGCGGATCGATTCTGAAAAAAGAAAAGATTGCCTAATCAGAAAGAAGAGAAGCTAAGTTGGACATTTCGGTAGTTTCCACATGTCAAGCGTCCCCCGCACCCTTTCATCGCGCAACTTGTTGATTGGGTGTGGTCGGCTGAGCCCGGGTTCGCTGCCACTTCTATGCAGCCCCCGATTTCCCCCGATTGCACAGCTTCTACCAGTGCGGCCGCTAGGGGGCATTCAGGATTCAGCATCCATGTACATCTTGGCCCACGCCTGTTTGCTGTATATAGTATCATGAACGGATCGTCGGCACCCAATTGAAATACCCAACATATTCAGCATGGCACAAGGTCACAGAGAGAATGCGGAGTCGCAAGCAGCAGAGAACCACTCCTTCTGCGTCTTCGGTGCGATCAGGGGCGGAGGATTTTCCGGGTCGACCTCGTCGGTTCGGAGTCGTGGCTGCATGTCTGAAATTAGAAACAAACGAGTCGCGGGCCGGTGGATTGCTCGTGGCTTCCAGCTCCCAGGGCTTCATTTCCGCACGAGCTATGGCTGCTTCGATGGCCTTCGATGGTGTTTTTAGATTCCCGTGTCGAGTCGCTTCGTGCTCGGACCTGGGCATGCTCCGGGCCGGGCATCTCACCCTCGGGAGTCAGCACCAAGCCTCAGAGAGACTCTGGAGTTGGAGCGACACCTCTCCGCTCTCTTCTTGGCAGCACGCATCCTCGATACGAAAGGCCAGCTCTGCGTGCGACACCCACCTTAGGCTAAAGGCTTGCCAATGACTACCGCATTACCACACTCAACTTGGGTGGTGGCATAGAACAGCACGATCCACTCCAAATTGTCATCGGCTCCCAGAAGATGCCATCTCTCCTCACCCGATTTTCCCCGCCCAAACTTTTAAGGGTCATGTGCCGGCTCTCAATATAAGGTGCAGTCCTCTGAGATGATTCCATTGTCGACCACCGAGAAATCCCACATTCCAGGCCTAGGAGCAAACATTGCGTGGACTGGCGGCTGACATCACCATAAACAATGCATGGCATATCACTGGCGCATCTTTTGTGAACATGCTTCCAAACATCAAGAAGTTTGAAGCGTTGGAGCAGACAGACACGAAGTGATCGCACGAACAAGTGCACAAGCGTGGAGAGCGAGGGCAGAGGCTCGCACATCCGCCCGCCCGGCCGCCCTCACATGCCCGCACAGACAGAGAAAGACAGAGAGAGAGAGAGAGAGACAGACAGAGAGAGACAGACACAGACAGACAGAGAGAGAGACAGA